AAAATTTTTTAGTTAATCTAAAAGAAAAGATGACAAGAGCTGCAAAGCATAAAAGCAAGAAAACTTTTTTCAGATTTTACTAAATTAGAAATTTAAATTTTTGTATCCCCTTGAACCCTCAATAATTAATAGCAAGTTAACAAATTGGTGAATAAATACATTTAAAAATATCTAATCTCAGTAGTTGGCAAACAGCAAATTAAAATAACTAATTTTTACTTTTCACCTATAAAATTGACAAATATATGTTGTCAAGGGTTAGGTGGTATAGAGATTCACACATATTGCTGTTATAAATATAAACTGGTATTTGTATTTCTCTTTCCAGAAATTAGATATCTATCAATTAGATAACATCTATCAAGAGTCTTGAAAATATTCACATCTAGCTAGGATGGGTATGTGGAATTCCATTAAACCACTCTATCTACTTTTGTTTATTTTTGAAATTTTCCAACATCAAGAAAAGAAAAAATTTAAAGGAAAAAAAAAAAAACCTGTTCACACCTTTTGATTTAGTAATCCCAGAGCTACAAATCAACCCTAAGGAAATAATCATACATATGGCTAAATATTTACATACAAAGATACCCCTGTAGTGTAAATGTTAACAGTAAAATATAATCTGTGAGCTAGATAGGGGAGCAGTAGGTAAATTATGTATGTCACCTCCATATAACAGACTATAGTACAACCATTAAAAGTTATTTTTTTGGAGAAATTTATGTTTTGAAGAAATTCTGTGGGAAATTCACATATAGTATTAGAAAAAAAGATGTAAAGCTATACATATATAAATGACGTTAAAGTTCTGTTTCTATATATGCATTAGATGAAAACCTGAATGGAAATACCAATAGCAGTTATCACTTAGTGGTAGAAAAAGGTGAAATTTCTTATCTTAGTATCAGAAACACTTATATTTTGTTTCAAATGATTCGTTTATCTTAATGCAAAAGTCTAAATTACATTGGTTGGGGGAGGGTATAGCTCAGTGATAGAGTATGTGCTTAGCATGCATGAGGTCCTGATTTCAATCCCCAGGCCCTCCATTAATATAAATAAATAAATGAACCTAATTACCTCCCTCCCAAAATAAAAAACAAAATGAAAAATTTTTAAATAAATAAATTACATTGCTGATCATTGTGTGGTTCTGGAAAGCTTAAAAGCATATTGTAGCCAAACCTTAGCAAGTATATGGAACTCTTTGGAATGTGTTTCATGTGTTAGCTTCATATGTTAGCTTTGTTCCAGGGTCCATTTTATGGCCTGATCCTTATTTTTAAATTTACTAAGTAGACACTGTAAGACAACAAAAAGGTCCTTAAAACTTTTTAATAAATACAGTGAGAAGTTCAAGGACCTGTTTTTTGCAGAATCCATTAATACAAGCACCATCAGCCCAACTTTGCAGGACTGGGACTCCTGTGAGGCGTGTCAGGTCCTCAGGGTACAAAATTTAAGGGAGCCCTTACTCTTGGGGTTGAGTTTATGTCAAGTTAAAAAGGCAAATGTCTTAACATTTATTATGAAATTAGTTGTTACTTTCCAGTTCCATGAATCATACTTTGAGAACCACTGATCTAAAACAAAGACCTGACTTTTCTATTTATAAACCTTTGATGGCTTCTGATTGACTAAGAATAATGTCTAAAATCTCTATGTAGTATATAAGCTCCTTCATCAATTTCCCCCAGTCTATTTTCTAGCCTCACTTGTGGCTCTGCCTCTCACACCATACTGTGTACTCTAGCCTAACTATTCTGTGTGGTTTTCTGATCCTTCCTCTGCTTAGAATGTTCTTCATCTGGCAACCTTCTTGTCACCTTTTACAGTGTGTTCAAGTTTAAATGTCACCTCCTTTCTAAAGCCTTCCCTAATTTCCCCAGAGCAAAATTAATACTTCCTTTTTATCTCT